AATGGATGCTACAGCCTAGGACAGAAACTGTCTTTGCAGGTCCACGTGTTCGTATAGCCCCCATAAAACGGTACCTCCCGATATTCGGTATTTTGATGATTTTAGCGACATTATTGACCGGAATTGTTTCGAATTTGCTATTTGAAGTTCGAAATAGATACTACAGCCTAAGACAGAAAATTGTCTGTGCAGGTTCACGTCTTCGTATGGCCCCCATATAAAGGTAACTCCCGATATTTGGTATTTTGATGATTTTAGCGACATTTTTTACCGGAATTGTTTCAAATTTGGTGTTTGAGGTTCGTAATGAATACTTAATCCTAAGACAGAAATTTGTCTGTGCAGGTCCACGCCTTCATACAACGGTACCTCCCGATAATCGGTATTTTGATGACTTTAGCTACATTAATCACCGATTTTTTTCTAAGTTTCGCATTTGAATATTGTAATGGCTTATGACAAAAGTTACCTATGCAGGCCCATGTCGTCGTATTGACCCTAATATTTCTAAGATTTTAACAGAATTTTTAAGGGATTTTATTGTTTTTGAGAATTGCCAAATTCGTTCTTAAATGGTGGAGGGTATTCATAGTTCGGCCCGGATGAGCTTACAACTTTTTTACTTGTTTTTTTCTAAAAAGGAATACTTTTAAGTCCGCTTGGAAATTTCCACAACCCAGACTGGTTATTGTGCAGTGAAATTATAAAAAAAAATTGCAGTGAATTGGGAAAAGTGATAAATTTTTCAGAAAAAACTAGGTTTTTTATTAACATAATGTAATTTTTTATGGTAGATATTAAATGTCCACATTTCCTTTCTTCAGAGACCCACAATGAAATTGAAAGGCGAACCCATAATTTTCAATTTCAGTACATAAATTTTCGATGTAATTTTCATAAAAGCTATTGTACCTAGATATATGGTTTACTATGAAACTTATAGTGAAATTTTGTGGAGAATATTTCTTCTTTCGACATATTCCGCCTAAAACGAAATTTGATGTTACTTTCAGGCTTCAAATCGAAAATTGGCCGGAGAAAATCAATCAAAAAACTAGGAGTTGCTTTTGGGAACATTAATGCAGATATATTTTGATATACAATAAAAATAGAGATTTCTCTTCTTTGGTGAGCTTCAGTGAAATTTGATGAAGAATATATTTGTCTCTGACGTCATCTTTCTAAAATGATGTTTTGTAGGAGATTTTTGGAGAAATTCACACAAAGTACGGTTTTAACCCTAAAATGTGTTTTTAATATCTGTGAATCCTTGGTGTTTAGGTAAGATTTCGATTCTTGACGTCTTTTAGAACTAATAGTAGAATTTTATAACAAATAATTTTGTAGACTTGTTACGATGCCGTTAAAAGCTAGTTTTAACCATATTTTAAAAAATCATCAAAAAAAACACATTTGGTTTTAGGGTTTAAATTTTAGACCATTATTTTGATGGACATTTTTAACCCTTATAACGTCGTGTTTTTATCTGTAATATTGCTAAATAGCTAAAATGAACGGATTTCGAGGAATCTTAATTCAAAGGTTTAAAAAAGTGTGGAATATGGAGGAACTCCCCCTCCATTTAGGTTACTTTGCGATGTAAACTTTCAAAACACCGATACATGTGTCTTCTATTTTTAGCTCTACGTTCATAATCTGCTGGATTTTTCCGGTAATTTTTATTTGCGTGGCACATTGTTTTTTTTTTTTTTTTTTTTTTTTTTTTTTTTGTTTTTTGCAATATTTTATCGAAAAAATTACATACTTATAAAATTTCTTTGAAATTCTCTTGTTAGAATTTTACTTTCAATTAAAATTTAGAATTCTCAATAATTACATGTCCAAGTAAAAATCCAAATCCTCTTAAGTCAAAGAAAATAATATAAGCTCTGTGCTTGGCTAAAAACACTTACAACATAAATAAATGCTCTTTATGTTTTTTTCTTTACCAAATAAATTTCTTTGGAATTCATGGCCTCACAGAGCCTCTAAATCCATTTCCATTAAAGAAATGGGTCTCTTAGGATGTCATGAGCGGTGTGTTTCAATAAAAACGAAACAGAAAAAAAAGCAAAACAACAAACATAAATTATTGCTTTATTTATTTAAAGTCCATTTGTTATTTTTTTCTGCTGAAGATTGAAGCGAAGCGCAAGAAACTTTGATACCCAACTAAAACTTTTAATAAAAATTTACTTTGGCTTTTGCAAGGATTTTCTTTAGATCACAGGCTCGTCTAAAGAAGAATGGAAAGAAGAAACAAAAAAAAAAAACAGTTTGCATGTTGGCTTTTCTTTTGCTTACTTATCTCACTCTCTTCCCGCTCTCTCTCTCTCTCTCTATGTCAAAGTTTTGTGAAGGTTTTGCTTACGTTTCCTCGCCTGATAATAAATGGGAAATTTGCCCATAAATTATGTTGCGCCCAAGATATTGATGTGTTGGCCTTTTGTTAATTTTTTTTGCGCTTCTTCAACAATATTTGAGAACGCAAAAAGGCGCACCTAAAAGTATACTTTGGAAACTAAAAAACGAAACACTTTTCCTTTTCAATTTTCCACTAACTAAATAAATTTATGGAAAGTACAAGAAAACTTTTCAATAACGTTATCATAAAAAATTAACTTTACGCTAATGGTTATGCCTGAAAGTATGCTTTATAGTTGTCGCTGTTATTCCCTCGCCTGAAAGTATACTTAAACATTTTTAAATTAGTTTTGTTGTTAGAATTTTTTCCAATTATTTAGAATTCCTTTTACAACCAATAATTCAAATACAAAGTTGTCACCCACCCACCTGTGCTGTTTATTTAACTTTGTTACATTTTCATAATTTTCCACCAGTCCTCCTTTGATTCATCAGCGAGCGTTGTAATTAAATCCTTATGATTCTGCCACCTTCGTTCTTCTTTTTTTCATTTTTTTTGGCATAAAAACAAACAAATTTTTAATTACTTGTCATTTTTTGACGCTAAAGGATGCGCCACATGAAATTTAATAACGCCTTGCATGAATGAGCGGAGGCTGTCTGGGGGACGGTGAAGTTATCATTATCACGGCAAAGGATTAAAAATAATTAAAATATTATCAGGGACTTTATGTCACCCTTGTAAATGTTTAAATTTCTTGAGAGTGTTTTTTCTAACAACAACAACAAGAAAAAAATTTTAAATCGAATTAGTCAAAACTCCATATTGTTGAAATTTTCCATTCAAATGGAAAAATTCAAAAAGGCGAAATTTTCCATAGGAAAAATTCACATTGGTGAAATTTTCCATAGGAAAAATTCACATTGGTGAAATTTTCCATATGAAAAAATTCACATTGGTGAAATTTTCCATATGAAAAAATTCACATTGGTGAAATTTTCCATAGGAAAAATTCACATTGGTGTTATTTTTCATAGGAAAAATTCACATTGGTGTGATTTTTCATAGGAAAAATTCACAATGTTGAAATATTCCATAGGAAAAATTCACATTGGTGTTATTTTTCATAGGAAAAATTCCCATTGGTGTTATTTTTCATAGGAAAAATTCCCATTGGTGTGATCTTTCATAGGAAAAAATCACATTGGTGAAATTTTCCATAGGAAAAATTCACATTGGTGAAATTTTCCGTAGGAAAAATTCACATTGGTGAAATTTTCCATAAGAAAAATTCACATTGGTGTGATTTTTCATAGGAAAAATTCACATTGGTGTGATTTTTCATAGGAAAAATTCACATTGGTGTGATTTTTCATAGGAAAAATTCACATTGTTGAAATTTTCCATAGGAAAAATTCACATTGTTGAAATTTTCCATAAGAAAAATTCACATTGGTGAAATTTTTCATAGGAAAAATTCCCATTGGCGTGATCTTTCATAGGAAAAATTCACATTGGTGAAATTTTCTATAGGAAAAATTCAGATTGGTGAAATTTTCCATAGGAAAAATTCACATTGGTGAAATTTTCCATAGGAAAAATTCACATTGGTGAAATTTTCCATAGGAAAAATTCACATTGGTGAAATTTTCCATAGGAAAAATTCACATTGGTGAAATTTTCCATAGGAAAAATTCACATTGGTGAAATTTTCCATAAGAAAAATTCACATTGGTGTGATTTTTCATAGGAAAAATTCACATTGGTGTGATTTTTCATAGGAAGAATTCACATTGGTGTGATTTTTCATAGGAAAAATTCACATTGTTGAAATTTTCCATAGGAAAAATTCACATTGTTGACATTTTCCATAAGAAAAATTCACATTGGTGTGATTTTTCATAGGAAAAATTCCCATTGGCGTGATCTTTCATAGGAAAAATTCACATTGGTGAAATTTTCCATAGGAAAAAATTCACATTGGTGTGATTTTTCATAGGAAAAATTCACAAAGGCAAAATTTTCCATTGGAAAAATTCACATTGGTGAAATTTTCCATAGGAAAAATTCACATTGGTGAAATTTTCCATAGGAAAAATTCACATTAGTGAAATTTTCCATAGGAAAAGTTCGCATTAGTGAAAATTTCCATAGGAAAAATTTGCATTGGTAAAGTTTTCCATAGGTACAATTCACATTGGTGAAATTTTCTATAGGAAAAAATCACATTTGTGAAATTTTCCATAGGAAAAGTTCACATTGGTGTGATTTTTCATAGGAAAAATTCACAAAGGCAAAATTTTCCATTGGAAAAATTCACATTGGTGAAATTTTCCATAGGAAAAATTCACATTGGGGAAATTTTCCATAGGAAAAATTCACATTGGTGAAATTTTCCATAGGAATTTTTCCATGGAAAACGGAAAAATCCATATTGTTGAAATTTTCCGTAGGAAAAATTCACATTCATGTGATTTTTCATAGGAAAAATTAACATCGGTGAAGTTTTCCATAGGAAAAATTCACCAACAAATGTTCCTCATTTACATTCAACAAAATATTTTCCTCAGAAATTATCATACCTATCTCTTCCTAACTAATCATAATTTTTCAACATTTTCTTGTCTATTTCCAGTTTTTATGCTGCAAAAACATCAAACTATTCATCGATGTCTGCCGCAATCATTTTAAGCTGCGCGAGGCGGATCTTTTCGAGCCCAGCATGCTCTATGATCTGACACATTTCCATCGAGTTCTCATAACACTGTCCAAGCTGTCACAATGTGCTAAAGTACAAAAACTACATCCAAATATTGTGTAAGTAAACATTATTAAATAAACATTGTCTTTAAATAGGAGTGATTGTTATTAAATAAGTCTTTAAAAAAAGGTCGATGTATATTGGTCCGATACTCATAAAAAAATGTTATAAAAGAAATGACCATATAGCTGAGGTATAAAAAATACGATAATTTTTGGAAATTGGTCCTTGACCCTTGGAAATTGATCCTTGAATTCCTCGAAGGAATATTCTTTAAAAATCCACTTTAATTTGTTCTTAAAGTATTTGAAGAAATTTTCTAGATATTCACTTTTTTTGGTCCTAACAATCCAAGATTTTTAAAATGGTCTTTTATTGTCCTTGAAAAAATTAAAGATTTTTTTTAAATTCTTATATATTTGTGTTTCACGCCCCGAAACAATTTTTTATTAAAAATCGAGTTTAATTGAAAAAATTGAAGTTTTTTCTCCGATAGTCCTTAAAAATTATTGAAAAAAAATTCACGTTTATTTATCTAATGCCTTCAAAAATTGTCTTCAAAATTCCCGTTGATTGGCCTTTAAATTCCTCATAGATATTTTTTGAAATTTACTTTTTTATCCTTGAAGTCCTTAAAGAAATTTTCTTAAATATTCACATTTATAGCTCCTTGAAAATGCAAGTTCCTTGAATTCCCCAAGGATATTTTTTTAAACCCACATTGGAGTCGTTAAAGATATTTCATTAAATATTCACATTTAATGGTCCTTGAATTCCTCGAAGAATTTTTCTTTTAAAATCCACTTTTATTTATTCTTAAAGTCATTGAAGAAGCTTTATTAAAATTACACTTTATTGGTCTTTGATGTCCCGAAAAAAATTATTAAAAATAGAAAATAGAAAATGAATAGAAATGATCTTCCAAAAATCAATGTTTTCAGTCAAATCAGATTTTCTTAGTTATTTTTTTTAATCGACCTCAAAAAATCTACGATTTAGGTATTATTTATTGGTGCTGGAAGTCATAGAAGAAATTTTCTTAAAAGATCCACATTAATTGGTCTGAAAGTCCTTGAAGAAATTTTCAAAAAGAAAAAAAATCCACATTTATTGGTCTGAAAGTCCCTCAAGAAATTTTCAAAAAAAACCACGTATATTGTTCTTTTAATCCTTGAAGAAATTTTCTAAAAAAATAGAAATTATTGGTCTAAAAGTCTTTTAAAAAAAGTATAAAAAGTCAATGTAAATTGGTCTGATAGTTCTTGAATAATATTCTTAAAAAATTTATTTTTTTTTGGCTGACAGTGTTTTAAGAACTTTTTTTAAATTCCATGTTTTTGGACTGATGGTCCTCGATAGACTTAGGTCGGTTATACTTTTAAGAAATTATTTTAAAAATCCACATCTCTTGGTCCGATAGTCCTTGAAGAAATTATTTAAAAAAATCCACATTCGTCTGAAGAAATTAGTTTCAAAGTCCAAGTTTTTTGATCCGATAGTCCTTGAAGAAATATTCTTAAGAAAAAAGAAAAGATGGTCCTTGAAGAAATGTGTTTAAGAGTCCATGTTGAAGAAGAAATTATTTTCAAAATCCACGTATCTTGTTCTAATAGTCACTGGAGAAATTCTCCTAAAAAATCAGCGTTTAATGGTCTGATAGTCCTTGAAAAAATTTGTTTGAAAATCCATGTTTACTGGTCAGACAGTCCTTGAGGAAATTTGCATAAAAATCCATGTTTTTGGTCGGATATGCCTTATTGTATTATTATAGAAATCCACGTCTCTTGGTCTAATAGTCCTTGAAGAAGTTCTCCTAAATAATCCATGTTTTTGGTCTGATTGTCCTTGAAGAAATTTTCCTAAAATTTAATCTAATAGTCCTTGAAGAAATTTTCAAAAAAATTTGTCTGATAGTCCTTGAAGAAATCTAAGTAAAAATCTAAGTTTTTTAGTCCGATAGTCCTTGAAGAAATATTCTTTAGAAAGAAGAAGTTTTGTCAACAAAATCCACGTTTTTTAGTCTGATGGTCCTTGAGGAAATTTGTATAAAAATCCATGTTTTTTTGTCGAATAGGCCTTGAAGAAATTATTTTAAAAATCCACGTCTCATGGTCTGATAGTCATTGGAGAAATTCTCCTAAAAATCCATGGTTATTGGTCTGATTGTGCTTGAAGAAATTTGTCTAAAAAATCAATGTTTATTTGTTACATAGTCCTTGAAGAAATTTGTTTATAAATTCATGTTTTTGGTCAAATAGTCCCTGAAGAAATTTCCGTATAAAATTGGTCTGAGAGTCCTTGAAGAAATTTGTCTAAGAAATCAATGTTTATTGGTCAGATAGTCCTCGAAGAAATTTGTTTAAAACCCCATGTTTTTTGATCAGAGAGTCCTTGAAGTAATTATTTTTAAAAAATCCACGTTTATTGGTCTGATAGTCCTTGTATGTTTTTCTAAAACAAATATAAAAAAGTTGTAAAATATATTAAAAATAAAAAAACTATCAATTTTATGGTTTTTATATTTACAGAGGCTTTAATTTACAATTATCCCCCAGCGAAAGATCTCATTCGGACGAGGCCATCTACAAAGATTTACACTCAACGTAAGTACAAAAAAATAGTTTCATATTTTGAAATAATTAATTATAATTAAAAAAAAATATATAATTTTTTTATTAAAATCGTTTAGTTCAAGTTGAGCAATTTTAAACAAAAAAATAATGTTGAATTTTCTATGACTTTTATTCTACTACTCTCTACCTCTCTCTCTCTCTTTACAACTATCTTTTCTTTTACTTTTGTTGCTTCCTTAAAAAAAAATCTTTCTTAATTCGAAATAAATGTGTTTTATTAAAAAATTAAAAAAAAAATACTTAAAAACATAACAACAATAAAAAACCAGTGGTGAATTTTGCAAAAATGGCAGCCTCGACAACACCTCGGAAATTTACGATCGCACCTCGCAGAGCGGCTCGCTATCGGTGGAGGATGAGAACAGCGACATAACAATTGAAAACGAAATGGGCACGGAGAATACCGAAGACTATGAGGATGATAACTTCTCGGCCCTAAGTGAAACGATTGAAACCGATTCCGTCCAAAGTGGATGTAGTGGTGGTGGCAGTGGTGTTACAGGTGGTCCTGAAAACGGTGGTGAAATGGTCAACAATGCCCCACCACCGCTAATGCAACGATCGAGTAGTACCACCTCCGCACCACCGTTGGCCATACGCTCCTCATCGAGTTCGGCCGTGCGATCGACCAGCATGGCCTACAATTTAAATCAACAACAACGTCAGCAATTAATGTCTGGCGGCGGTAATTCGTCATCGTCTTCATCGGCGGCCGCTGCCGCCGTTGTCGATCGCAATCAGAATCTACACAGTGCCGCTGCAGCTGTCTATAACTATCATGTGATAACATCGGAAATCGGCCACGAATATCTTAACGACATCTACACCGAGGAGGATGAAAAAGTCTACGAGGATTTGTGTTATGTTACGTTTTCATCGAAAGTTTCGGAGGTGTGCATGACAAAAAACAATAGACAATATTCAATAGTTCATGTGAATGGATGGCACATAGAGTCTAGATGCTTACAAAAAAATATTTATAAATAATATACAGTCAAATATGGTTAAATGGACCACAAGATGATCAAAACCAGGTTTTTTTTAATTTTTTATTGATTGGAACTTTGAATAAAATAGTCTCCTGATAATTTTTTCTATTCTAAATAATCTGACCAAAAAATCAGTTTTTTTTTGGTTTCATAAAAAATAAGTGGTTTGAAGTAATAAAAATCTACCATATCACTGGAAAGGGTCCTTAATAACCATATTTGACTGTATTCGTTCTTAGCTTGTTGATATATTGCATTTGAATACTATTACGCTTTGAGTTACAAACCCGGCTAATTTTCTTTCGTTTCTATAAACTTTTCATTTTCATTTACTTTTTATTTGAATAATGTCATGTTTAGGGAAAATTTTTGAAAGGAAGAAATATTTTTAAAAATATAACCGTTTCGTATCAAAAATTCCTCGAGAAAAAATCTTAAAAACGTTTTTTAAGTTCTATGAATCCTTTATTTATTTATTTATTTTTTTTTTTTTTTTTTGAAATCCACGTTTATTGATCTTTATTGCAATGTTGGTAACAATATTCTTGCTCTGACGCTTGTCCCTAATGTCCTTGAAGACATTTTCTTAAAAATGCCATTTTTATCTGCCTGATAGTCCTTGAATAGATTCTCTTAAAAATGAGTGTTTAGTTGCCTAACAGTCCTTGGAAAATTATTTTTTAAAAGTCCTCGTTTTGGTTCAATTGTCCTGGAAGAAATGTTCTTAAAAAATCTACGTTCATTGGTCTGATAGTACCTCAAGAAATGTTCTTAAAATATCCCCTATTGATCCTTGAAATCTTCAAGGAACATTTTTTATCTAAATGCACTTGAACCCTTGAAGACATTTTTTTTTAAATTCACTTAATATTTTTTATTTTTGTTCGTTGGTTTTGTTTTTTTTAAACCTTTGATGTCCTCAATGAAATCCAAGTTTTTAGTATGATAGTCCTTGAAGAGACTTCCTTTAAAATATCATCTTTTATTGTTTATTGAAGTTTTTGAATTTTTTTTTTTAAATTATCCATTTGTTTTTTCCCCGGAAGTCCTTGAAGAAATATTCTTAAAAAGCCCTCGTTTGTTATTCTGATGGTCATTGAAGAGCTTTTCTTAAAAAAATCGCGATCATTGGGTGATTTTTTTGATTAATCAAGGCTTATGTATCCTTGATGTCCTGAAAGACATTTACATTATATTAAAATACACAATTATTGATCCTTAACGTTCAAAAAGAAAAATTCTCCTAAGAAATCCACGTCTATTTGTCTGATTGTCCTTAAAAAAAATCGTTAAAAATCTACGTTTATTGGTTTGATAGTCCTTCAAGAAATTTTCTTAAAATGTTGGAAATTATTGGTCATGTAAATTGGTCTGATAGTCCTTGAAGAATATTCTTAAAAATGCACTATTTTGGCTGACGGCGCTTAAAAAAAAAATTATTAAAAAAATCACTTTATTGGTCTGATAGTCCTTGAAGAAGTTTATTTATTGGTCAGACAGTCCTTGAAGAAATTTTCCTAAATATTAGTCTGCGAGTACTTGAAGAATTTATTTATATTGAAGATTTTATTTTTTTTAATTAATCAAGGCTTATGCATACTTGATGTCCTGAAAGATGTTTTCATTATATTAAAATACACAATTATTGATCCTTAACGTTAAAAAATCAATGTTAATTGGTCCCTTGAAATAATTATAGATATTTTCTTAAAACATTTCAGTATTTTTCATCCTTCTAAGTCGTTATGGAAATATTTCCCAAGAAATCTCTTTTATTGGTCTAATTACCCTTGGAAACTACTTTTATAAATACACTTCTAATAGCTCTTGATGAAATTTCCATAATAAAATCCACTTTCATTAGACCTTGAAAACATTTCTAAGAAATCCTCAATTTTTTAATCCTAGGTCATAGTCCTTGGAAGAATATTCCTAAAAAATCCACATCTATTGGTCGAATAGTTCTTGAAGAAAAATTCCCTAAAAAATTTCTTAATAAATTCCTGATAAAAAAAATCCTTAAGAATTCAAGTTTATTAGTCTGTTAATCCTTGAGTCCTTTATGAGTCTGATAGTCCTCGTAGAATTTTTAAAACATACGCATGTATAGATCCTCGTTTTAACCCTGGAATTAATAGAATTATTCATAATAAATAGACTTTTATTGATTATTAAAGAAAATTTCCCTCAAAAAATCACTTTTTTTGATGGTATAGTCCTTTTAATTGTTAATTGTTCTGGCGGTCTTTAAAAAAATATTTTTTAAAAACTTAAGTTTATTGACCTGATTGTCTGTAAAAAATGTCCATGAAAAATCTGAGTTTATTTTTCGGATCCTTAAGAAGTTCTTAAAAATTCGTACATTTACTGTTCTGATGGTCCTTGAAGAAAATTTCTAAAATCTACAATTTTGAAAATCTTTTAAAAAAATCTATGTTTTTTGCTCCTTAAAGCTATTGAAGAAATGCCCTTAAAAATGTTTCGATCATAGGTCTGGTAGTCTCTGAAAAAGTCATGTCCGAACTATTTTTCCTAAAAATCTGACTTTATTGGTTCTTAAAGTCCTGTGTTTATTAATCTAGGTTTTTATTTTTATTTTCATGAAGAAATAAAATTCACATTCTTTGGTCCTTGAAGAATTTAAAGATGTTTTTTTTTTAACAAAAATTCAATTTTATTGAAGTTTAAGTTTATTAAAAGAACAACGTTTATTGATCTAATAGTCCTTCAAAAAAAATTCCTAAAAATCCACATTTTTGGTTGAAAATTCTTTGAAGAAAATGTTCTTGAAAAACACACGCTTATTAATGGTTGAAGTTCCTTAAAATATTTTTTTTAAATACAATGTGTATTTGAAATACAATAGTTTTTGAAAAATATTCCTAAAAAATCTACGCCTGACAGTCTTTTAGAAAATATTTCTAAAAAATCCTCTTCCCATAATCCTTGAAAAATATTTAAAAAAAATTCACGTCTTATAGTCCTTGAAAAATATTTTTAACAAAATTCACGTCTTATAGTCCTTGAAAAATATTTTTAACAAAATTCACGTCTCATAGCCATTCAGACAAATTTTTTAAAAATCCACGTCTCATAGTCCTTGACAAATATTTAAAAAATTTACGCCTCATAATCCTTGACAAATATTTAAAAAAAATTACGCCTGACAGTCTTTCAGAAAATTTTTTGAAAAATCCACGTCTCATAGTCCTTGACAAATATTTTTTAAAAAGTCCACGTATCATAGTCCTTGGTAAATATTTTTTAAAAAATCCACGTCTTATAGTCCTTGACAAATATTTAAAAAATTTACGCCTCATAGTCATTGACAAATATTTAAAAAATTTACGCCTGACAGTTATTCAGAAATTTTTTTAAAAAATCCACGTCTCATAGTCCTTGACAAATATTTTTTAAAAAATCCACGTCTTAAAGTCCTTGGCAAATATTTTTTAAAAAATCCACGTCTCATAGTCATTGACAAATATTTTTAAGAAATTCACGCCTATCAGTCTTTGAAGAAATATTTCTTCAAAATCCACATCTGATAGTCATTGAAGAAATTTTCCTAAAAAATGCGCATCTCGTTCGATAGACCTTAAAGAGATAATCTTAAAATATCCTCGTCTCATAGTCCTTGAGAAAATCTACATCTAATAATTCTTGAAGAAATATTCAAAAAAATACAAGTCTGATTATCCTTAAAGATATATTCTTAAAAAATTCAATTGATAGGCCTTGAGGAAATAATCCTTCAAAAAAAACTCGCCTGATAGTCATTAAAAAGTTTTTTTTTAAAAATGAAGTCCTTTAAGACATTTTATTGAAGTATCCGCTTCTACGGTTTTTGAAGTCCTTGAAGAAAATTACATAACAAAGCCACGTCTAATAGTCCTTGAAGAAATATTTTTCAAAAATCCACGTTATTCCTTGAAGTAATATTTTTAAAAAATTCAATTCTGATAATCCTTAAAAAAATAT